CCTGGTTCCATCCTCTTGACACCCTCCCTTTACATGTTTATTCACATTGACGAGGTCCTTTCTTCAGTCGTCTGTTCTTGAGGCTAAGCAGGTCCAGTTCCCTCTGCCTCAGGCTTCCAGTCATCCTTGTTTCCCTCTGCTGGACCCACTTTTGGCATTCCATAACCCCTTTGTACTCAGGAAGTTAGAACAGGGCACTTCAGATGTGCCCTGACTTCACCAGGGCTGAGTAGAGGGGCAGGATCATATCCCTCAACCTCTGGCACTGCTCTCTCTAGTGCATCCCAGGATTGCTGGCCTTCTTGGCCACAAGGGCTCGGTGGTGATGTGTGGTGTGCTGTGGTGTGCCTTGTGGGAGGAGTGCAGAAGGGCTGAGCAGGGGTCCTTTGGTAGCACTGTCTGCATTTGGCTGCCATGTATGTGTAAACAGACACATGTGGCTGGAGATATGTCTTGGGGGGTTTTCGCTCTGGTGCTCGTGTGTGGTCTGATGCGGCCCTCAGTGTGCAAAATGGGTAGCAACAAAAGGTCTGTGAGTGCTGCTGTGATTATCTTTGGGCTGTAAGATTATGTTCATAATCCTCACATACATCATGTCTAGGTTTTTGCGTTAAGTAGGCATCTGGTAGGAGCAGCATTAGTGCAGCTGTGTAAGTCAGGCTTAAAGACAAGGTTGCCCCTGCCTGTCCTTGCTTCTTTTCTTAGGACTAATGTCTTCCACTGGAGCTTGAGCTGCTGTAATTGCACATACTAAATAATTAATATGCACTATAATGCTGTTGTCTGTATGATTAAAAAGACTTTGACTTAAAATAGAACTTCATAGTGATGGTGTACTTACATATTTAAATCTTGTTTACAGAAAGGATGGTTGGAAGTGGAGTGCAGGGATTAAGACATATTAAGAACGTTCCACTTAATAATAACAACGGAATAACACTTTATTGTGTACCTGCAACAGGTTAATATTAAATGTGTCATTTTGTGTCCAGTATATACTGCTATGTTACGCAAAGTACTGTTGTGTAGAACTAACTGGAATATTGCAGGTGGCAAGCAAGGTCCAATTCTGCATTCCTCACATGCATAAGCATGAAGTCCACCTCTTTAACCCAGCACTGCCAAGACCACCACTAAACCTTGTTTGTAATTGCCATGTCTGTGTTATGTGGAGTTGCACCCTATGAGTTACTTGTTGAGTATTTCTTTATTTTGAAGCACTCAGTTGTTCTGTGTATCTAAGGAACGTGTTGGTTTTGGTTGCATACTTTTGTCTTGTGTAATTGTTTTAAGGTGCCAGTTACGGAACACTGTGGTTTCCTCACCTCCACTTTCGCTTGTGCTGTGCCATTGCTTTCTCTCAGTAGTGTGAATCTGGAATTAGTCTAGGAATTCTAAATATGTGATGCTTCTTTTAAAGTAGTACTAGGGAGTAAAATTGTTAAGATTCCTGTTCTCAAAATGCAGTTTAATCCTCACTTGAAAGGGTGAATAATGATTTCTTCTGCAAACTTCTCTTGGTTATCTAGAAGGTTATATTACTAAAGATATCTAACTGCAGAAACTTGCCAATCTTTTTTGCCAGATGCAGACTTTTCTTTGTTTGATTTAATCAAGAAATGGCTCTTGAGTTCAGTGTACTTTGTGATTGTGGCTTTTAAACACACCCTGCAAGGAGCAGATAGGAATCCCTTCATAAGATTAATAGTTCATGGTTCATAAATTGATACTTGCTCTTTTGGGCTGGAGATTTTCAGAGTAATTTGAAAACTTTGTCATTCATCCCAAAATTTGTAGCAGGTTTCCTCTTGCTGTGAACTAATACACCCTTATTGAATTGCAGATTAACTGTCTGTTGAGAATTTGGATTTCATATAGGAGAGAAGATGCAGCAAATTAAGCTCAACTTCCTATAAACCTGAATTCTGGAGTCATTTGCAGTGGGGGCCACTTGTTTCTCCCAAGAGTTTTTGGTTCTGTGCTTGTCTTGAATGTGTTTTTTTTTTTTGCAAGGACTTAAGCAGTGCCATTATGTTTGGTTGCATGCAGTCTCAATGAGTGTGTTTTTGTAGGTGTGTGCTTGGAATTATGCAATAGAACCCATCCTAAATGGGGCTGGTAAGCCAAACGAGGAGGTTTGAGAAGCTCTCCGTAATGTAATATCAGTATTTGTAATTAATGGTACTAGAGGTCAAAGATGTCTGGTGGCATGCAGCTTTTTTAAACTTGACATGAGTCTGTGTTGCCTGTATTTCAAGTGACTTTTCTTGTAGAAAGTGTTGATTCTAAACTACTGCCTATGCAGGTAGTTTAGCTCTTTTTAAGAAGCTTAACAGTTATTAATGAATTGCAGAAATGAAGAATGGAGGTACTCTGCAAAACTTCAGTTTCAGTAGCCAGATCACTTAAACTACTTACAACCATTTCTTAGAAACTGCTGGTTTTGATTCTGCTTCTTTAAATTCATTTGCCACCTGAAAGATCTTGTGAAGAATTCAAATGAACGCTTCTGTCTTTATGGGGCAATAAAGCAACCTTGTCTCTAAAACAGGTGGTATGTATTTTTCTTTGCTCTTCTGCATTTTTGCATCTTCCAGAAAGTATTCAGTATTGAACTGGAGTATTCTTTTCCCTCTTGTAGCTTTGAGGATTTCTAAGCATATAAGAAAGAAACTGTCAAAAGAAAGCTGATTGCTGAGCCTAAAATCAGTTATATTTGAAAGCTGGTCATAATAAGGAAATCAGGCTTGGAATTGCAGTTGTGTTTCATACACATATCCACACCAGTAAAGTCATGCCTATGAAGAGTGGTGGTATTTTGAAGTCATGTGCCACAGAATCATTATTTCTATATTGGACATGGGAGAGTGGTATTTTGCCTTCTGGTGGTTACAATACAACATGTAGTTGGAACTGCGTTGACTATTGCACTAAAGCACTTAATGATTTATCAGGTGTTGTTTGGGAGTATTTTTGTTTTAAATTATACTTGAGGGAAGATACTAGGGTTTGAAAAATCATCTACATGTAGCATGTATATCTGCATATGCTTTTTCATGAGTTTTGGTGGTTGTTTTGTTTTTTGTTTTTTTTTTAGAAGTCCAGATCCTGTACCTGCTGGTGGTGGTAACATTCTGATCATGAATCAAATACCAGTGGATGAGTGGATGTGGTATTTTTATAGATCTTTACTAGGCAGCACCACTGTCCTTAGTGCTTGTAGCCATATTAGGTTCCCTCAGTGCTAACTCATATTTGAAACTGTCAGATATCAATCTTTGTATTCAGCTTGAATAGTGCTGACTTTGTCCTAGTTCTCATCAGTTTAAACTTTTGAGTATCTATGGAAGCTGCAAGAGGTATGGAGGTGAACCAAGGACATAGTGAAGATGGAGCCCTCAGGTGTCAGGATGGTACTGTTTTGGTGAACCACCCTGACTCTAGCAGGAAAGCTGAACTGGAATATTCTTTCTCCCTTTGTAGTTTTGTGGATTTCTAGACATATAAGAAGGACAGAAACTGTCAAAAGAACTTAATTTGTTGCCAATTCTTTGCTTCTTAAGAGCATTTGCAATTCAGAAGTTATTAAAAACTTCCTCCAACTAAGACAAGATTGTGTTAAAGCCAGGAGTTTTTCATTGAATGTTGACTCACAACATAAATTTGTCAAATTATAGAGTATCCTAAGTTAGAAGGGACTCATCAGGATCAATGAGTTGAACTCCTGGCCCTGCATAGGACAACTCCAAGAATCACCCTATGTACCTGTGACCATTGTCCAAAACACTTTTTGGACTTTGTCAGGCTTGGTGCTGAGATCACTTCCCTGAGGAGCCTGTTCTGATGCTCAAGCACCCTCTTGGTGAAACACCTTTTCCGATACCTAAACCTAACCTAAACCTTCCCTGACACAGCTTCATGCTGTTCCCTTGAGTCCTGTCGCTGGTCTTGAGTGAGAAAAGATCAATGTCTGCCCCTCCTCTTCCCTTCAAAAGGAACTTGTAGGCTGCAGTGAGGTCTCCTCTCTGTCCAGAGAAGCCAAGTGACCTCAGCCACTCTTCATATGACTTCCCTCAACGCCCTTCACCACCACCTTTGTGACCCTCCTTTGGATGCTCTCTGATGGTCTTGTGTCTTTATTATATTGTAATGCCTAAAACTGCAGAGAACATGAGCTGAGGCTGCCCCAGTGCAGAACAGACAATTGCATCCTTTGACTAGATGACAAATCTGTGTCTGAGCACATGGTTGGCCCTCCTGG